ATTTTAGCAACCTTTAATTAGAGTCTTGGTTGACTGAAGCCGTGCAGATGGATGAGATGAGTTTGCCTCCTGGGTTTCTAGTCGGACCTCAGTCCTTTGCACAGAAAGACAGCGGCAGCTGTTGGTTTGGACTAAATAAAGTCACAGGGCTGAAGCCGTAGCTCCCTGAGACGCATCAAATAAAATAATAAAACCCCTGAATCTCTCTCTGTGACCCACTTTGAGACACAACCAGCCACCGGAGAAACAATGCTGTAGCATATGCACATCCAGAGTGATCTAATTACACACGGACACTCCCAGTGAGTCCTGAATGAGTCCATAGATCCTATCACATACATCCCAGGAGAGAGAGACACTGAGACACAGAGAGAGAGATCCGATCTTCTCTGATGTGGTCACATTTGCCGCATCCATGACTCACGTTCACACCAGGTGTGAAACACACTTTTCAAACCCTGCCCCTCCGTGTTCAGTCTGGCGCACATTCCTGGTTGGTGAAAAATTAACCAGGTTAAGAACAAGTTGGTCACTGACAAACCATCTGCTCCCTGCCACCACTGACCTTTAACCTTCACATTAATGATCCAGGGGTCAACTAAGTGACCTGTCAGGTAGACCGACAATAGAGCAGAGGAAGTGAAGGAGGCAGGGGGCGCTGGCGTCTGACAGACAACCCTTCATTGTCTCTTCTTTCTCTTCAAACTTTGTTCTTTCTCTCTGTTTTCTCATCCAGGAAAAGTAAAATGAAACGTATCTCCAGAGAGCTGACTCTTATTGAACTTTTTTTTTCTTGTGTACGTCGGTGATATTGCTTGCTTTTATCCAAAGATGAAATAAACAAAAAAAAAAAAAGGAATAGCAGCTGGCAGCGTTACAGTGCTCCAGCTAATGGCCATTAAGGTAGCAGGCATTTATGGGAAGAGGTAATGCACAAATATATTTACAGACATTTCCAAACTTTTTAGTCTGAGAAACTTCACTGTTTTGGATTGGACTTAGAGCCAGGAGCAGACTTAATTCTCTTAAATTACTGAACTAAATTGAACATTTACACGGCAACAAGAGAATATGTTGATTTATGATTGGTACAGAGTTTTTAAAAAGTGGAAAAACCCTTTTTGAAGAAAAATTCTTTTTGGGATTTGGGGACTCGGTGTTGGTTTTCAATGTCATTTGGGAAACAGATTTTGCTCCACTTTGTTTTGTTAAATATAAACTCACTATGACATTGACTGTGAATACAGTACATTCCTCCATTTTATCCCCATTATATGGATTTTTAGGAGAATCACTTTTATTTATTTGTTTTCAATTTTAATGTTTTCAATTTTTAAAACTTTGAAGCCCATGTTTTGTGAATTTTGTCCTGACTTGAACGGGTGGTATCGAAACCGGAACTTTCTGGCAGCATTAGGAAGTCAGACCTCTGCACCTTTCTAGCCCCATTTTTGTTGATAATAATGAAATCTGAGTCTCCAAGGTTGATACTGGGTCAGTTTTCAAAACTATGATCCAATTTAAAGTAAAATGGACAATAAATAAACCTTATCATCTGAGTGACTGTAAGGTTATTTTTATCACAATATCAATTGCAGGGAACTTATTTCACGTCACATTCAGTCAGAAGTCGATGCTGATCTCGGTGTAGATCTATCTATACTTGTGTCTGTTTGGTAGTAAAGCAGTGGATAACGTTCTCATTCTCTGCAGACCTTAAATCTCATTTCTGTTTGAAATTGAATTTTAAAAAATGGAGGAAATGCCATAGAAATTATCTTATGTGTGTGTGTGTAGATGTTATTGTGTGAAGAATCCTTAGATGGGGTATTTCCTGTTTGAGTGATGAATGTGTCCGTTGTTTTCCCTTCCCGGTTCAACACCAACTCCATCACATTCCTCCTCAACTTACCCCACTCCGTCCTCTGTCCTTTCTCTAACCTTGTCTTTTTCTTCTCTCCAGCCCTCATCTGTTTTTAACTATTCTTCTGAGGACTCCCCCTCCTCCTGCCGCTCCTCCCTTCTGCTCTTTGTTTTTGCAGTAAACGAAAGGCAAAGACAGTCCCGGTGCATGTCCTTTGTGTGAGCATGCGTGGCTGTTTGCGTAACCCCCATAAGAGCCACTGTTTGGCCTCTTAGGTAAACATGGCGGCTGTGCTATCCCCAGCGCTGCAGCAGATTCAGCCACGATAGCTGCCGCTTATCTGTTCAAACACTCAGGCTGCTTTGTATTACCCATGTCAGCTCCGCTTGATTAAATCAGACCATGCCCGAAATCAAATAAAAACCCTCCAGTAGGATTTTGAAGTCATATCGCTCGATATTCCCCACTGGTTATGGAATTTTCTGGTAATTTTGGAGAGACATCTGCCAGACAAATGGGTCACTTTGCACCAGAGCAGTCAGATTTTTCAAAACCCTGACAGAAACCAGGCATTATTTTTATCACTTATAATGAGAAACAGCTGCAACAAAGGAAGGGCGAGTGAGATAGTGAGGATACAGGAGTGAATTCAGGTTTGATCCTGACAGGCTGGGATGAGATCAGAGGGGTTTGATTATTTTTAAATTATTAGGTCGACGTGTGCTAGTCCAAAGATTTAGAAATATTTCACTCACGTGACGCTGATGTCATCAAATGTGTTATACAGGAAAGAAAATCAGAGAAACCAATCTGATTTACTCAAATGGTAATGTCTCGTATTTTTCCTTCCTGTAAATTGAATATGCAGAAAATAAAGATGTGGAAAAATCACCACCTTTAATATACACAGAAGAGACTGGAAACTAAATGGAGATACTACTATGCTTAGAAGCAGGAAGCTGAACGAGTCCGTAGTCAGCCAACACTGCTGATTGCTGACTGTTTTCATGGAAGTTGAGAAATAAGGAAACCAGTTGCTCAACTTGTTCCCTAACACCAAACAGTAAACATGTCCATGACGTGTACTCATTGGTTTCTGTGCTTCTTCTTTGAGGTTGTTTATCAGGTTTGTAACTTACAATCCTGTTTAGAGGAAAATACACTTGTAATGACTCCTGCTGCTGGTGTAGAGTATGAGACCATAATTGACAGATGGTACGGTCCAGTGGAGATCTGGTTTCAGCCATGTCTGTTAAACATTACATACAAACTATTTTAGAATTTTCAAAGGATTTTAGGATCTTAATCACATGGGGAGCTGGAGCCAATCCAAGGCTGCCTTTTGGTGAGCACAGAACCAAATGTGGAGACAAACATTCACACTCACTTTTATACTCTGATCAAAGAACCTAATCCACAGCTACATGTCTCTAGAGTATGGGATGGAACCCACAGCTCCATACAGAAGGAGCCGGGATCAAACCTAAAAACAATTCTGTCTTTTCAATTTTGTTGTGGTATAATTGTTTCCTATGTTTCCTTCCTCCGGTCTACTGCTGGTTTAAGAACTATAGAATTAGACCAAATGAGAGTTGGAGTGTTTTCATTGTCCAACCACAGACACTTCTGAGATCTCCGTCTCAGTCTGTTAGTAGATGCTGCTCTTCCTCTTATCTGACTGTCAGTGCGTGTGTAAGCTGTTGTGTTTTCATGGTTTCCTGTGGTTTCCTGTGTCTTTGTGTGTGCGGTTTCAGCGACTAACCAACAACCAGAGGGAGGAAAGGAATTAGAGGGAGTTGCAGGAGGGGGGTGAGAAGGTGTTGAGGGGAAAACATCATGGAGGTGTTGAGATGAGGGGAAGCAAAGAAAGGCTGAGGGTAAAGACAGAGCAGGAGGAAAAGGAAGTTATTCATAATCAGCAGTTCAGCGTTAGGGTTTCAGGAAAACCTCCCTGTTGCAGAGAAGTCATAAAAGTCAGTCTGGTGTCTGTCAGTCTGTCTGTTTGTCAAGACCCGCTGTTGACTTTGCTGCCAAAATAAACATGAACTGAGCAGGAGATAAAGGGCGCGCTGACTGAACAAGTCTTGATGGTTCACGTCAGCAACATCAGAATGTTCGTCCAAATCACTTTCTAAGGGATTTATTTTTAGGTCTCCGTGCAATGGTTTTTATGGTGCATTTTATTTCCACAGCACTTTTCAATGAAGAAAATTAAAGTACAATACATGACAATAAAACCTTCATTTGACATATAGATAATTTAAAGAAATTCAGCTGATTGTTGGTCGTAGTTTTCTCCTTCATCAGCACCAAACATCACCAAAAAAATAATAATAATCAGGTCTTTTCCAATATACACTTATGGTTAAAAACTAAAAATGTTGTAAATGAGTTGTAAATATTCTTGGTGTACACAACCAAGGCAGGACATTTTCTTTGGGTCCCATGAAAGCCTGGGACTGACCAGCAGGGGTCCATGTGACCTCTGAGCCTTGTTATTAGCCAGTGGAAGGAAGGGTGTGTTCATGGAGAGTGAATTCAGGAAGAGAATCAAACTCACATCCTGCCCACCTGTCCAGACTTCCTGCCAGGCCTGGTCATGTTTGCCCATGTAGCCTCCTGCAGCTTCCATTGACCACCAGCATGGAGGCAGACTTGAAGGCATAGGACGAGTGGGCGATGTGTGAGGAGGAGGAGAAGGAGGAGGAGGAGGAGGAGGTAGAGTAACTCCTCATCCATCCTGGAGTTTTCCCAGCCTCCCAGCGCCAAACCTTTGACCCCAAAACAGGCCGACAGCTGGGCTGGTGATATCGGATCTGTGTTTGGGTTGTCTCTGGCTTGTCCGCCCCTGCTCCTGTGTGTGTAGTCAAGCACAACTGTGCATCATGGGTGTATGAACATCAGGACATCAGGAGTGTGTGTGAGAAAAGTGAGATAAGACCCACCAACGACTTTCACTAATACAAATATCCTCTCTGTTTGTTAAATTACACACCTTTTTACAGTTTCAGTAATTAAATCCTTAGACAAATTTAAAGGTTGTCCAATTATTTAACCCCACATTTTTCATCATTATTCTCCTTCTGACAATAATCTCTATTTTCTTTCTTTTTTTTTCTCTTTTGTTTCCTCATAGATTTTCCACGCCAACACTGACCCAGCTGAGGTTGTTCTCAACCGAGTCCCACAGCCGGTTCTGGCCCGGTTTGTTCGCATCCGACCACAGACCTGGAGAAACGGCATCGCCCTGCGCTTTGAGCTCTACGGCTGTCAGATCACAGGTGTGTGTTTTCAGAGTTTGTGGATGACCTAGTAGAACTGACCCAACATAATGTTGGAGAAACATCACTTGACTGTGTCGTGACTGTTGAGTGTTACTCAGCTCTCCGTCATACAGCCCTGCTGGTTTATCTTGAAATACTCAAAGTCAGCAGATGTCCTGAGAAAAGAGCGAGAGAGTGAAATCTTTTTTTGTTTACGGTTTTATTGTCTCTCTTACAGTGCGGTCTCAACACTGACTCTTCTATTGTCTTCCAGGAAAGAAAAAAAACAAATTTATTTTTTCAAACTGAAGAAAATAAACACTTTAAAGACCAAACAGAAAAATACACCACCACATAAGAAACACTCACTCGTGCAAAAATACATGTGTGTTTAGACACGGTCCCACACTCCTGCTGCTATCTTTTACAGATGACAGGCCTCAGGCTAATTATAAGAAACCTCTTTACTCTCTATTCTTTCTTCCTTCTTCCAAAAGCTCCACCAGTATCATTTCCCTCTCTCTCTCTCTCTCTCTCTCTCTCTCTCTCTCTCTCCACGGTCTCCCACATCTCCTGTCGTCTTTCTGTTTCTATTCCAGCTCCCCCACGACGTCTTCCTCTTGTTCTTTCCGTGGTTTCAGATACTTCTCTTGTTGGATGTGTCCTTTTTTGCTCTGCTAGCTTCTTTCTATATGGAGAAGTGTGTGCTGATCAATCATTTAATCTCCTACACCAGAAACAGTGATTCTATATTTTTCAGTCTAGTGATTAGCTGTAACACACACACGCACAGACACACACACACACTCATGTAGATGCAGCCGACATCCTCCTGCCTTTTTCTATACATTATTTAAAATCTCCTGCTTTTGACATAACAACATGAAACTTTCATCTGTGTTTCTCTTAATCCGCTGCACAGCTGAACCCCCCCCCCCTGCTGCCGCCTTTACTCACTTCCTCTGTCTCCTGCCCTTCCTTTTTCCTAGCCCTCTCCCTCCCGACTCTATCCTCCCCTCCTTGATATAAACCTCATCCCTTTGGTGTTAAAAGTCATAATTAGGCTCTTTTTGAAGTGTTGTTAAATATGGTACTGACCCACTGTAACAGAACACACACATTTCAGTTTCCTGACAAAAGGCTAAGGATATGTAATATTATATTTTCTTCTGACTACAGTAGCTGGACGACTGTTTAGAATGCCTCCTTTATTTTTCACCTTTGGAAGATGTAGTTTCCAAATCCCTCACTATCCTACACCAAATTCCATAGAGAGACACGTCTGTTATGGCTAGCAGAGATGCAGCAGCTGTTGGTCAGTACAGTGTGTGTTACATGGGAAACTCAAAACAATTATTTTAAACAATGAAATTGTCCAAAAAACGTTGCTGGTAAACACAGCAGTAGTATGTATATGTTTTTGTATTTTTATATTTTCTTATATTTTTATTTCACTCTTTGTGTTTTTTTTCCCCTCCACGTCGACCTCTTTAAATAATTGATTTATAGCACAAAAGAATACAATGGTCCAATATTATTGCAGGTCTTTGAAAGTTATTAATAAAAGCTTCTACATTAAAGTGGAACTAGCCCTTTAGTTGAGTGAACAGGCTGTTGCGTAGCGTATAAAGACACTCAAGTGAAGCCACTCTGCGGTAGATTAAACATATGCTTTTATATCATCTAATGGCACTAATTGCACGGTGAAGGAGTCTTACAGCGCTGCGCACCTCCACCCCGTCTGCTCCTGTCTAAACTGGTAATGCTTAGTCGGCAGTAGTGCAGCCCTGCGGTGCAGCATAACTGCTCTCAGGTGGGAATATGTGTAACGGCATACGTTAGGTCATCGTGAAGAAATCTCCATCAAACCTCCAGCCTCAGCCCACAGCCCTGCAGGTACAGTCATCTTCTGTCTTTTCCCCCTGATGTTCCAGATGCTCCATGTTCAGACCTGCAGGGTCTCCTCTCCGGCCTGTTACCTGATGCACAGATCTCAGCCTCCTCCAGCAGGGACATGGTGTGGAATCCCAGTACTGCTCGTCTGGTGGCCAGTCGCTCCGGTTGGTTCCCAGGCCCCGCGCAACCTCTGTCTGGGGAGGAGTGGCTGCAGGTGAGTTATGTTGTCCTATTTTTTCTGAATTGCAATGTATATTTGCCCTTTTAGGATCAATGAAAAAATAGTAATCATTTACATCAGAAAATACAGCAATATAAAGTTGTGAATCATCAGCATAACTGATGACGTTTTTCGATGACGGTTAAAAAAAACAAACAGTCCTAAAATAATTGCGTTGGTCATAAACAACCTTAGAGATCATTTGCGATGAACAAAGTATAAAGAGAAAGTAAAGTAACATTGTCTGGCCTCTGTTATCCTCATGGTTAAACTTATTGAATGCAAGTGCAGGATTATTGCCTACACTTATTGCTCAGAGCAAAAACCAGAAGCAGTGTAGCAATTAAACCATACCTGCATCCCAGCTCTGTTTCTGTTTTTCCAGAGAAATTTATGGGTTTTAATAATCATTATCTAATCTCCCCAGGTGGATCTCGGCGTTCCTAAAACGGTGCGTGGTGTCATCACTCAAGGAGCCAGGGGAGGAGATGCCGGGAGTGGAGCCACCACTGATAACCGGGCATTTGTTCGGAAGTACAAAGTGGCTTACAGCCTGAATGGAAAAGAATGGAATTTCATAATGGACAGCAAGACAAGTCTTGCCAAGGTGAGGGAGGAAGGGACGAGGACACGTGAAGGGAATGCTCTGTGTGTGTAATTCAACACCAGTTCAACAACTCTTGTGTTTGGTGCAGATTTTCGAGGGGAACACGCACTACGACACACCAGAACTACGGCACTTTGAGGAGACGGTGGCACAGTACATTAGGCTGTATCCGGAACGCTGGTCTCCTGCAGGGATCGGGATGAGGGTGGAAATTCTAGGCTGTGACCTTCCAGGTAGGTCATGCAGAGAAAAGATGCTGCTGCTGTTGCTGATTCATGATGTAATCATTGCTGTATGTGTTGGAGGGTCTGGGTCTGTAGTGGAGTAAAACTCCCTCTGAACTCTAATAAACACAAGAGAAGTATTTAAAATGGAATCGACTTTGAGGACACTGGCTCACTGGGAAAAGTGAGGATCACATTAGATATGCATGAGAATCATCAGAGTCTGCCAGAGGTGAAAAGAGACAGCCAGAGCCGGAGTAAGTGAGTGTGAGTGTGTGTTTCATTCCTTTAAAGGGATAGTTCTCCAAGTGAAGACACTCACTCTAACTGAAAACATGACTGGGTTTTTTTTTTTTTTTTTAGCAAAATAGAAACTAAAGACTTCATTTCAATTATACATCGGCCTTTGAAATCCCTCGTATCGATTTCTCCTGGTGACACAAACCTACTAACACCAGTACCATCATACAGTGATGTAGAAGTTTAAGAAAACTGGAGTTTTTACACAGACTTTGGCGCTGGAGAGTTTGCTAAACATACTTCAAAGATGTTGTAGTCTTCAGCTGGTGTGGTTTGGATGTGTCCGGTTTAATAGGTGTACGAAAATGAGTCACTATCACTTTAAGGTTTAACAACAAGTGTGTTGGGAATAGACAAGGTTTGGTTTGAAGGAATTTCATCCCCACTGAGACAGAGAAAAGTGCTGGCTTGTTCACTTTCCAGCCTGGTCTGTTTTCCAGATGTGAGGCAGTGCTGGGGATGCACACACACACACACACACACACACACACACTGGACAGCTCACATATGGACTCTGACTGTTTACCGCTCCCTCTGTGCCTGAACAGGATGGTTGAGCTGCATCGCACAACACGCTACGTACTAATCTCACATCAAGACACACACCCAAAAAAACCCACACAGAGAGCGGTATATAAATGTGTACTCTCTCGGCGACGCAGTAATCATGCCTCTATAAATGCTCCGAGATGATTTGTGTGTGTGTGTGTGTCTGTGGCTTTGACATAAGTGCAGATGAAATGCTCTAGCCAACAACTGCAGAGCAGAGATGATGGCTTTCTCCGTTTTCATTTCTTCTTTTATTATTCTCAATGCGATATTCAAGAAAAGAACATTCTGGAACATTATATTTGTGACCACAATAAATATGTAGAGTGCACTGTGATCTCTGATGTACACTCTGAGGGATGGACCTGTCTGATCCAGCATCAGTAGTGAAGTGAACAGTCAGTGGTGAGATGTTTTAAATTCAATTTTTAGGTTTTTCTATATAAATACCTTTTGTTAACGCAGCCATAGCTCATTAGCATGCTGTGATGTCTGAGTCCTTCCACCTTCATAGGTATTCAGCTATTTAATAAAAAAAGGATTTTTTTTCCCCCCTCTGGTTATACCCCCCGCCCCCTACTGGAAGTATACAGTCATACAGGGTGATTTTTCTTTTAGGCCTAATTACGTGATGTGCTTAATAACGTAGCTCATTAGCTTAGTAAGCTTGTGTGCTAGTAGCTAGATTTTCTGGGGGATTAAACCCCTTCAGAGTCAAAGGTCACACGCTGCTGACAGGCCTGTGAAACGCAGCAGGAACACTGAGCTGCTGCTGACGCGCACTAAATCACTCACTTCCTTTTCCTGCTCACCTCCTGCTCTTCTCATTTTGAAGTTTCATGTGTATGATTTATCATGATAAAAAACATAGGGCAGATTTTTGACACACAGATGTATTCCCCCTGATCACCCCCTCTCCCCCCCACCTCCCCTATTTTTTTAATAACCCTGAGGCCCAGTGCGTGGGTCTGTCAATGTTTTCTGTTCTGTTTTTTCCTTTTTTGGGACCAAGCCTCTTTTTTTAAAACCATTCTTTCTTTGTTTCTTCACAATCACACCTCTTTCCATGCTCGCTCATGGCTAATGGTTCAGGGTACAGATGCAGACATATATAATAATAAAATAAAACGACATTTCCTGTTTTCCTTCCTGTGTCATTTATAAACCATAGTCATGACTTAAAGGTAAAGTTCAAGTTTTTCACAGTTATTTTTTCAGCATGAAGTAACGACTTTCTTACGTCTGAGCTCCAGAGACTGGTTGTCTTTGACTGACTGACTTCCAACAGGGACGTGAGAGGAAAAAAGACACAGCTGTCAGCTCCTCAACAACAGACTGACCTGATTAAAATCTGTGCCTCCTTAAGCCTACATTAGCTTTACAGTGTGTTAGCAGCTGTATCTCAGATCAGACAGTTTTGTTTCTAACAGAAATCAGACTCATTCACTCTAACACACCACAGTCCATGGAAAACTGATCTGTTTTTAAACTCCTGTCTGTGGAGCTGTCACTGCCCCAACTGGAGAGTTCTTGTAACATACCGAGATACTCACCAAGCTAAAGTGTAGACTTAGTGCACAACAATGACATCTAATGGAGACAGGATTTAGAGCAAGCTCTCATGTGTTTTATGGAGTGAAATCTCCCATTTTCTGTATGGACATTGGTCTTCTTCCCCCGGACCAGTCAGTGATTCACACAGAATATCAAACAGTGGCTACTTGTCTCTGCCATCATGTTCTCAGGTGGCTGTTTGTGTGTCCATCTATCTTTCACAGTGTGTGTGAGTGTGTGTGTGTGTGTGTGTGTCAGGCTGCCAAGCAGAGATTTACAGAAAGCTTTCTACATAATTGAAGATTTTCTCTCTCTCTCTCTCTCTCTCTTTTCTCTGACACATTGCTGAGTCAGACTCTTTGGAGAGTGAGCAGCATCTTTTACCCAGAGTGGGTTGGCATCTCCATTGAAGATTTTCTCTGTGTGTGTGTGAGAGAGAGAGTGTGTGTGTGTGTGTTTGAGAACGACATTCTAATCCATTTATCAGCGCGCGTGCGTGTGTGTGTGCGTGTGTGTTTATGTATGCGAGTGCGCACCTCCATTATCCATGCCAGATTCTCCCCCGGGTCCACTCGTAGATGTTGGAGACTCATCCCACGCATGATGATGACGACTTGCATCATCACCTGCAGCAGTAGACACATTATGTAAGACAACACTGGGTCGCAGAGGGACAGTCCCTGCACCACAGGGCTGTCAGTACAGTAGGCCTGCAGGCACACACAGATTTCATCACTGTCCTTGAATCTTTCAAGGACAGGCTTGAGGCCCGGGGCATGGAACCATACAGACTGTAGAGACCATATAGACCGCTCCTGTGGACGAGTGATGGACGCTGCCTCACAGGTGCATTAGCCGAGAGTCTCCTGTCAACAGATCTGAAGATGTTCTATCTAGTTAGGTCTCCAACCAATGATTATTACGTTTCATAAAATGTTTCCAAAATACTGCATAGAGTTTACATTTCACAGGAAATGTTAATTTATCACCAGAATATCTCACATAGAATTAATCACACAACTATTTCAGACAGATTCCAAAATCCAAATTCATCAAAACTCTGACAAAATATTGTATTACAATTTAAATATTGTATCTCAGAATATTACTTAAACAAAATGTTCTAAAGGTATGAAAACTAGTCAGCGTAGGAATCCATACATACGTACTTTATCCACACTGTAGAAATGTGTGCCTGTAATGATGTAGATTTGTTTTTGCAGAGTAAAAAGATTGAATAATGTTTTTTAGAAAAAGAAAAAGAATTGTTATGACAGAGATAAAATATTTTAATTCTAATGTTACTAACTCTATCCTAAAAATATTAAATATATATTATTATTATATAATAATTATAAATATATATTTTTGTGAACATGAATTACAAATATTGCGATATTATTATCTGATTAAATCACTAGGACTGTACATAGCCAGATGAGGCAGCAGTATTTCGTCACCTTTGAGTACTTTACCTCACATATCAGCAGCCAAATCCCTACAGTGTTTTGTTTTCGTGATTGTCCAAATTCCTACTGTTTGTGTGGAAATGTATTCAGGTCACATATGTTTTTAATCACTTTCTCCGCTCTTTTTTTCCACATAAACACAAACACACTTAGTCCATGCTGTTGCTGTTGCTGCTGACACCAGTGTCACACACTGTAAAGGTCAACGCCATCACACTGTGACAAGGCCTGACCTTTGAAAGCACGGAGAGCACAGGAGCAGGACGGAATCTTAATGCACTCTGTGAGAGTGTGCGAGTGTGTGAGAGTGTGTGTGTGTGTGTGCGAGTGTGTGTGTGTGAGTGCGTGTTTAGTTAGATTTCCACTAGCGCCCACACCAGACGGAGACACTTGTGGTGTGTTTTAGCTTCAAGTCTGAAGATTTAGGTGAAGAACTCAAAGGTTAAACATGGTTTAAAACAAGGCAAACACAAAAAAATGTGAGAGTAGGAAGAGGAGAAAAGGAGACCAGAGATGGTTTGGGATTTTTCCTGGTCTTAACTTCCTGGTTGACCCGCAGTGATAAGAGTCTCATTAAGGCAGTTAATGTGGGGCGTAAAGGAGATGACATTAACACTGGGTTAATGTCAGACAGCGTCACCAGCTGTGGGCGCTCCTTTCATGTTTGCCATTTCTCCAGCTGGGGCGCCCTCGCGCTCATTTCCACGGGAAGCTCCTTTAAAGCAGATCAATTGTGCATGACTTCAGGTGTGTTCCCCTTCACTGGGTTTGGTGGTGTTTAAATGACACAGGTGGCTGATCCAGAACGAGGATGAACAACAGCAGGAGGCTGAAGGATGTTATAAACAGGTGTCCAAGGCGTTAATCCCGGGGGGGGGGGGGGGGGTCTGCTACTTCCTCCTGTTGATCAATAGGGTTTATTTCACTGGTTTTGACCCCTTTTGACCCCTTTTTGACAAAACAAATTTCTGGCGACCACAGAGACATTTATTTTCTCTCGTCATGTGATCGAGATGAGCCAGTTCAGATATTTTTAGTTGCTGGGTATCGATTGTCGGGGATAGTAACATCTAGTCCTAGTACGCATACAGTACATATTGAACTCAATTTATATTCATGAAAGTGAAAGAACACAATTGTTCACGATTGTGTATGGTGTTTTTAATCATGATTTTAATTTGGAAATACTGGTTCAACAGTAAGTTAGGGAATATTGATGTTAAGTTACATGACCCTTTGAGGTGTGATCCGCAGGAATTCTTTTGATTTAAGTGCTCCAAGAATTTACCAAGAAAAAAAGAAACATTATAAGAGGTACACATTAGAAAAATACAGCTGATGAAGATGTTCAGTTTCACATTAAATGTCAATGTGGAAATCTGCATTCAAAACCCACGGCGACTCAGTAGCTTCCGATTTCCTGCTGTAACTTTTAATTGTTAGGTTACACTTTGGTAAATTCACATTAAGCTTTTGCAACAACGAGATAAAAAGACAATTAAAGCAGCAGCAGCAGCAGCAGCAGCAGCAGCTCCACAGTGACTGTGTACAACTAAGGACTATAATGTCTAAATTGGATCTGGCTACAGCTACATTCAAAAGTAGTTGAATGAGTGAACTAAGTTTGTTTTTTTTTTAGACATCACAGACTGTTGTTTACAGAGCGATTTGGATCCTCCATCTGGTTCTTTGTTGAACGGACTCCGTGTCATTACCTCATACAGACACTCACCAAACAACTTTCACTGTTCACTGAAATCCATCCAAGTCAGGGACCATACCAAAGGAATATGAAATCTGATCCTGTCCCCATAACCCTGTCAGTGATCATTAATGTCAAACTTCAAATGAAACTCAGTTTTTGTTTTGGCTTTTTTTATATATATATAAAACTGTGTCCAAATCAGAGTTTAACGACTTTTCCTGCTGGTTATCTGAGACAGAAATCAGTTCATTCACATAATGAATTAGGATCTGAGCTCGAGACATGACCCAGAGCTCTGCGTAAACTCCCATAATACACCAGGGTTGACCCATCTGCTCCTAATAATGCAGCACTTTCTCCCACTTCACATTCCGGCTGCAGCCTGCCTGACGTGTGTGTGCGTGCGTTCACACATGGCGCGTTTTAATGAGTAAATGGTGGGCTTATTTATGTGTCTGTGTGTGTGTGTTGTTTGTCTTCCTCAGTGATGAATGTGTGCTTGAATAGATGTTAAGGGCGGAGAGAAAATCATACATTTCACTCAGACCTTGCGTGAGTAATAGAGTGACAAAGAGCTGTGTAACACACATTGGTACAGTGTGTGTGTGTAGTGTGTGTTGTCCCTGCGACAGGCAGTGAGTGGTCCCAGAGTCTGACAGTCTCGTCCAAGGTCGAGGGGACTCCCACATTCGTCAGCGTTAGCTCCAGGCGTCCGTACATGGATCTACTGGTGTCTCTCTTTGTTTTCATTCAAATTAAATGCGATGTCCACTAGGTGGCACTGCATTTAGAACCCAGACCACAGACTTAAGAAGAATGGAAATACAAAGTGGAGCTTTGTGATAAAACTGTAGATTTTGATGCAGTTTTTTTGTTTTTCTGTTTTCATCCATGAAAGTTAGAAAACAAAAACCTATTTTCTACAAAAACAATGATGCTTAATTTTTTTTTTTTTTTTTTTTTTTGCCAGAAGAACTGACCCAGGTTTAAAAACAGTTCTTGTTAACAGCTTTATCAAAGGTACAACATCTTACAGAAGGGAAGTCTTTGGTAACTGTACACGGCTGTGTTACTTCCTGCTTGTTTCTAATTCCGATCGTGAGCCTCTGAGTGAGAGACTACATCAAGAAAAACAAATCTTACTTCACTGCTTCCCCCGTCTTTGTTTCTTATCACTTCCTGTGCCGTCTGTGTCTCCCGGTCCGTCTGTTATTTAGGGGCCTCCGTCCTATCATGACTCAGAGATTGTTTTATTCTACCTCCTCTGAACTCTATTGTTTTGTTTTTCTCACAGAAATCACCACCCCGGCTGGCACCGTCACGCCAACTCTACCCGCCGACTTGGAGACCACCACTGTTCCCGTGTCAACCACAGGTGAAATCAAAGAGTTGTCCACTGAAGTGTTGGCTTCACAGATAGCCTCCCAGGTCATGACCTTCTTATCTTTGTCGTCTCCCCCTGGTCTTTGTAGTCTCCACCTCTCCTGCGGCGGACAGCGCCTGTGACTTTGACCACGGCCTGTGTGGGTGGACCCACGACCCCACTGCCCCCCTCTTCTGGTCTCTTCACAGCCACGGTGAGTCCACTCACATTCCCCCAGTCATGACTGACTCACAGCTGCTGTCTGCTGCACTGACTCACGGCTGTGGACGTAAATCCTGCAGTTATTCTGCAGTTGAAGTTCGTTTCATTCAGATCTGTGTTTGTATTGACGACACAGTCATCGCTGAGACACAGATGTCAGCGGCAAATGACGGAAAACAGATTTTAAGCCTAACCAAATATTGTTTTTTTCTTCCTTCCTGTCAGTCTTTTAAAACCTTGCGACGGTGTTTGAGCAGTTTTTCCCACCAGTTGGTATTGTTTAATTTAAATCCTAAGTTTGTGTTATTTTAAACACTTCTTTTTTTGTACAGTCCAAAGGAAAAAGAACTTTAAAAAAAAAAGAATTTAAATATGCACGGTGACACCATGTAAACCTGTAGTAAAGATTGAGGGAGGAAAACAATCATCCGTGTGTTAAAGGACAAACACAAAACAAATCAAAATTAAATAACAGGGAAATAGTTGGTGGATTTGTCATTTGGGTGCAATGTTTATTTGATCAATCCCATCAATACTAGAATTCTGTAATTAAAATTACAGAATTAAAACAAACAAATTTCATTATGGATTAATTTCCAAATCAGATTGAAAATGAAAATAGAAGAATCATCTGCCGCTCCTTCTTTCCAAAAATGCTCCTTCACTGCATCGTTCATTTCAGCTCTTGGCGTTAAAACATTTCCTACTGTATCGTATTAGGTTTTTTTTTATTTTTTATTATTTGCTCTGTTTTTCCACTGGCAAGCGAGCAGGACTTTTGTCCTAATCTTGTTTTTCAAACTCCTTGGATAAAAAAAGATTTTTTTTTCCTCATCTGAAGAGAATAAACAAATGTGTGTTGTCACCTGGATTTAGTTCAGACGTGCAATGTATCTCCAAGCCAGGAGCAGACGTTTTGTGTTGTTGCTGGAAACAGGATTTTTATCCCTGCCTTGTTTTCTGGAATTCATCTGTTTTAATAAAAGATCCAGGGTGTCTTCAGGTGAAACTGGTAACGTCACCTGGATTAAAATCAGCAGTGGAGCAGATTTAGCCTCAAAAGCAGACACTCTGTGCCATTCTTACTGTTTAAACACAGTTGGCATCCGTGATGCTGCGTTTCCGCCGCCTCCTCTTTTCCTTTTGCCTTTTTTCCTCCTTCTGCTTTGGTGTTTTACAGCACTTGGCATCAGAAACATTGCTTTACTACCTCCTCCTCTTCCTCCTCCTCGTCTTTTTCTTCCCTCTTATCCTGCTGGCGTTCAATAGGATTTTTTTTATGCATATATAGTGATATTCATATTTTTCTACTGGCAGGGAAACAGAATTGTTATCCTGGCCTTGTTTTTGAAATCCATTGGTTTTTAAAAGATTCAGGCTTTTCTCCAGATGGATGGAATTAAACGAGAAGTTCTCTCACAAACTCCTCTCCTTTATGTGTCATATTTTTGGATAACTCTTGGTGTAGCCATCGATTTCGACATTTTCCTGAAGCGTGACCTACTTAGGTCGTAAGCGTCTTTGATAGAGGGGCTTCAAAGCGACGTCTTTCATCACCGGCCGATTGGAAAGGGTTTGCTTGGATTAGTCAAGTTGAAGCTTTCATGTATGGAGTATCATTTCCAGCCATTTTGACACGCCGCACCGGCCTTTGATTCATGTCAAAGGTCGGAAATTCTAGCCTTTTGCCAGTCATTATTTCCCCGACTATCGAATCACTGTCTAATCCTGCGGTGGATTCCTGTTTCTTATGAGAGCCTGGATCTCTGATCCCCTCCACCTCCTGACCTCCTGTCATAAAACACAGAGCTGGATTCCGTGTCCTATTATTCGCCCTAATATACCTGCACTAATAAAAAAGTGCTAACTAGGCTCCACAGAATGGATCCTTGTTTGCGTCTGGCAGCAGGAGGCCACTGTGAAACTGATTAACAATGCTCTGTTGTGCTGTGAACGGCGGCGCTGCCTTCATTATGAGCTGCCTGGCAAACAAGAGTCACAACAACGGGGGGGCTCGCCGCTGGGTGCCACGCTTCAACGTCAGGCGCAGGCTTTGGTCCTGAACATTAAAGAAAAAAGGAGCAATAAAATGCTTCGCAGAGTCACAATAAACACATTTTACCCCGACTCAAACATCCAGGGTCATGAAGTGAAGACGTGGAGCCTGAAACTGTGGGGCTGGGAAGGGAGGGAGGGGGAGAGGGCAAGTCCATGGGCCATGGCCCACACTTGCTTGTTGACTTTAACCCTTGGGTGGATGTTCGTTCCATGTTAACCTGCTGATTAATAGAGCTCCAACATACAGGAGTGAATTAGCTGAGAATTACTGGACTTCATGTAAGTGTCCAGCCCATGGAGAAAACCATCAACCTCACCTCAAAGTTTGAGCCTAGAACTGGACTAACTGTGGTGACACGAAGTCTACAGTGAGGCAGCTGCAGACTAACAGCTTCTGTAGGCTAATGTTTGGTCTTCCCCCCGGGTTTGGTGCAGGAGACTAAAGAGGTTTTTCTTCTATAAAAGTATCGAACATCAAGAAAGAGATGGACGAGTTCCTGAGCTGAAGTGGACAAAGTAAACTGTTCCCAGGGAGCGTGAGCATCATCAGATGTTTCTGGTTTTATTTCTCTGGCTTGAAAACAAAAACACACACAGAGAGAGAGAGAGAGCATAAACACATATGTAATATATACTCACTCAAAAGTGGTTCACAATAAAGCAGGTGATTTCATCTGCAGATTGTTGATGCGGAACATTTTCCCACAGGGTCCACTGAAGACATTCTTCACCAGACGCCTCATTGAGTCACACACACACACACACACACACACACTCCGTCTTTACAGTACAGTCACTAATCTTACTCCCTCACAATGGAATTCATGCCGGTGTCCAATTTGCAAACTAAACATCCTCTGGTGTAAACAAATGGAGCGATCTGAGTTGGACTTTTCCGTCACTGAAGTCATTTACCTGAATGAGAATGAAGAGGAATGGGCCCCCAGGGGCCTGACTGGAGTTTTGGTCACACACACAAACACATACACACACACACTGTGTTTAAAATGAGCTTCAGGCTATTAAGGCCTTAAGTGTTTGTGTTTGTCATAACCTCATTGTTATATGGCGTCCATTGTGAACGCTGGCGATCGCGTTCCTGTTAGTGACTGGTGACTAGCCCATGTTTGGTTTGAGAGACACGTTGGAAACTGTGTGAAAACTCTGTCTGATGATTATCAGCCATTGTTTGTTTGTATTAGTGAAGACAGGTTCAAGTGCAGCAGCTCATTTCAGGAGCTTCACACAACCTTTTGATTCTCTCTGTTTAATTGTTGCCTCCAGGTCTGAAATGAAAGCGGATCAAATGTGGCTCTTTGTCACTTTTGATTTAGCGGAGCAGACACCAGGTCGAACCAGCAGTCAGTGCTGTGTTTTCACTGGGGCTCATTAGTTCCTGAGGCACTTTCTGGGTTTCATTATCCAGCGGTGACAGAACTTTAAAAACTGAAAACACATGAAGCACCAGACTGTGAAGTTTTGGAGAGCGACCGCTCACCTCCACCTTTCCACTCTCTCCTCCAGAGCTCAACAGCTACCTCTACATGGACGCCAGCCTCAAGACAGAGCAGCAGCGGGCTCGCCTCCTCGGCCCCGTGGTGCCGGCAGAAACCGGACCTCTCTGCCTCCTCTTTTCCTACCAGCTGTGGGGCGAGGCCCAGGGCCACCTCAGGGTTCTACTGCGAGACGCCCACAACGAGGAGACTCTGCTCTGGACGCTGAAGGATGACCAGGGTCCAGTTTGGAAGGAGGGTCGCACCATCCTGCCACGGTCTCCAAAAGATTTCCAGGTACAGAAGAAGCCAGAGATACTTTTAATCGAGTTGCTGCCTTCCATGATTCACCTGCAGGGTGTGCTATAAGACGGTTGAAATGTCCTGGTTCTTGACTAAGTTGCATTCTTGACTCAAATATTTGCCAATTTGAATGGCAAATCGCAACCCACTCCCATCCCATTTTTATTGTTGTTTACTTTTTTTGCTATAAAACAGTTCTGCCTGTATAAGGAAAAGGAAAAATCGTTTATCAAAATGCAAAAAGTAAATAAAAACTAAAACCTAAAATGAGCTACATTGACTTAAGTTATGATCAGGGACGTCCGATATTAACTTTTTGCCAATATCCAATATGCAGATATTGTCCAAACACTTTTCTGATTCCAATATCAATCAGCCGACCGATATCCGATACCGACATCCCTAGTTACGATATAATACAAAGGTGTTAAACACAAACTTCAACTTAAGTTCATGAACTAAATCCCTGTTTCAGCCTGCTCTAGATTCGTTCTCCACAGACACTTGGCTGAACCGTACAGTCTCCATTGGCTGTGTGATTATTTTAGGAATCAGAGGCATTTGTTTCTAACTGCCACGAGTAAAAGTTTGAAATAAAAACTCAGAGGAATTTCAACTGTAACTCAACTGAAAAACACATTGTTAAAATCCTACTGTAATAACTTTTTGTTTTCTTTCTCCTCCTCCTTCTGCTGGTACTCGTCCCTGTTCTCCATTCTGCTCCACTCCCCTGCTGCCTTTATCCTGTCATCATCTTCCTAATCTAAATGTACCCCCCCTTCGCTCACCTCCCTCCTCCCCCTCTTCCTCCTCTTCCTCTCCTGGTTTTTGGTAGGTTGTGATGGAGGGTTTCTTTGCACACGGCACCAGGGGACATATCTGGATAGACAACGTCCACATGAGCTCCAGCACCCCACTGAAGGAGTGCACCCGTAAGTCAAACACACACACACACACACACAAATCACACTCGCCAGACATACGTCGAAGTAGTTAACGTATCTATAACTATATTATATTCAGTATAATTTGGTTTAACACGTTTTAACCAAAGCTTTAATACCGACGTCAGTAAACAGACTCTGACTGGTTTACGGTCTTCTTCAGTAAAACACAATGACATTGTTGTTAAAACCTGTCAATTTAGAGGAAAATACAAAAAGAAAATAAATACAATGAAGAACACAACAGGCCCATTCACTGGTAGGTTTTTAAAAAAAGATGAAATAGTGAATTCATGGTTTTAATTTTGAAGCGTTTTATCTGACGTACTCTCCATCGTTTGCGGCACAATCTGATATCCAGACAGAAATGAATGAAAACTACCAAAAAAGGCAAAAACAGAAGAACTGGACAGCAGCCAGAAACACAGAACAGTCAGAAACAACGCAGCCACGCCGTCTCCTCTGTGGCGCTGCTCCACAGCACAATGAACGTCAGTCTGAACCATGGAGGCAGGTTTTTGGCTCCGGAGCCCCGGCTCACCCTCTGATCTGTTTTAAACCTTCTCCAAAGCCTCAGCTCGGGCCAGATTAAAGAGGCTGCTCGGCGCTCGCACCAGGCTCCTGCAAATGTGGAGGGGGAAAAAAAAGGACTGAGGAATAATTCTCTTTGACGGAGAGGGAAAAGCTGTGTTTACAAATACCACAGAGGAGACAGAGGGAGAAGAGAGAGGGAGAGAAGAAGAAGAGGAAATCGAATGAAACATAGATTATCATCGCCGTCGCCCACAGGGCGTCTATGGCCTAGTTTGCTGTTCTTCCTTTATTTCTTTTTAGGGAGGAGTAAACGCTCCCCCTCCCACTCCTCCTTCCTTTCATCTCTGTATTTGGGGAGCCCATCGTCGGAGGCGAAGCTGTCTCCTAAACTGGGTTTTAGAGACTCAGAAAGTGTGTGTGTGTGTTTGTCACTCCTATGTATGTCAGCGCTTCAGAAACCTTAAGGCTGTAGAAGTCTACAGCAGCAGCTCAAATAGATGCTGCTGAATCCCACACTGTTCCAAGTCAGAGTGCTGATTGGTGGAAACAGCGGAACACGCCATTAAAAATGGTCGTCCCGGGCTTTAATGGCCTCAATAAAGTATTTTATTTTGTAGGAGATAAATATAGTGACTGACAACTCAGATAAGAAAATATATATATTGCCTTTTCCACAGAGTGAAGCTACTTCTTATCGCCGGCGTCCCATTGGACGATCCAGCTGTGAGTCCCGTACTGTGGAAAAACTCACAACTTCAATCTGAAGCTGGTAATTTAGAGCCTGAGATTGTCAGGGAAATGTAAACTACCCGTGTAGAACTCTTGATGCTGAATAACCTGCCTCACCCTGCAGGCTGGAGCTGCAGGGTGAGGCAGATTATTCCAGCTGGATCTGATCGACCACGACCCTCCCACTCCCACTCCCCGACTTTGTCTTCTTTTCATTTTGAAACTGCATCAGGGATTCTGGGAGTTTCAAAACTGCCACCTACTGGATCGATTGTTCACAGGTCAACATAAACCAGTTGAACAAATACAGACAGACGTTATACAGACTGTACCCCTGCAGAGGAACACACTGTAGACCGAGACTGTACTTGATCAGTTCTTTGGTTTATTTGTAAGGACATTTCTACATACTCAGCAGATACTGGTCCTTTCTGGTCCAGCTGGGTGGATAAATTTGAAGTTTGAAGTTTAGATTTACTAACTTTATCCGTCGGGTCCATTCCTTTTCTCTGGAAAGTTAAAAGTAGTGTCTAAATGTGCCTCCTCTCACTGCAGCCTCCCCGTTATGTACCTGTGTTCCCTCCTCTGCCACAGCAGAGCATGCTGGGACGTCACTTATCATCCAGCACAGTTGAGTTCCTTGCAGAACATTGGTAGCGTTCCTGCCAAAAAGTTCCCATGTCTCTTTCTCTCTTTGATTGCATTCCAGGCAAATCAAAGTCAAGGTTCTGCACTGTGCATTCACAGCAGGAAGAGAAAGAAAAGCCGCGGCTCGCTGCTGTTTATCTGGACTCTGCAGATACACAACTTGAAGTGTGTGAACTTTCGTGAAGGTGGAGGCACACACACCCAGTCGTGGCCTAAACCCTCTGTATGCACAGTCTATGTAAAAAGTCCCAGATCGCGCTGCTCTGTTTGAAATTACGTTCTATTAAAGGAGCAGAGCAAATGCCATAATTCATGCCGGTTATCTGAGGAATTAACTTAAATTTCCTCAGGAGGAGTTTGATAGCGGAGTGACATTTGTGTGACATTTGGTTGACTTTTTCCTCTCATATTAAAAATATTTCTCATTTCTCTTTTTCTGCCTGTTTGTCTCCCCTGTTTGTCCTAGCAGAACCCTTCACTGCGTTTCCTCCTGAGAATCCAGGTGAGTTTAGTCTTGCTATGATGTCATTTCCTGTCTTGTCTTGCTTCCTGCCCGTCGGTATGCACTAGCGATAGAACTGCTTGGCGGCACTAAAAGAACACACACAAACAAAAAAACGCCCAAACCAGTCCTTTCCCCGAAAATATTCGAGACTAAAAGTTAATGAAACAACAACAGCACAGATATGAGTTATTACATTTCCAAAGACTGTTTTAACTCTACAACTCAACCCTTTGACCTCACTGATATCAGTAGAATAAAGGCTTAGTCCCCGAAGAGCCAACTGTGCAAGGCCAGCTCCATCCATCACTTCACACAGAGACAGATTTTTTGAAAAGAGCTCTTTTCTCAGTCCGAGGCATCGTCCTGATGCAGCCTGAAGGGTTTTAAATAACTGTTTGCCTCATGAAAATTTTTTAAGAGCATCCTGAGGGATTCTGTGATGGATGCTAGTGTTTTGGCATCTCATAATGGCTCCCCCCAATGAGAGAAGAGCTCAGCTGTTTCAGCGCAAATGTGATGTGTGTGCATTTTTCATCTGGCTTTTCTCATCCTCCCTAAAAGGGATAGTTCAAGATTTTTAGTAAGATGTAGCTTTGTATGAGACACTGACACTTTGTTTAGCGCTGACTTCCCTGAGCTGATGGTTTTCATCAAAGCACAAGGAGCGTCTGTCTGAGAAATTAGACATTCATTAAACCGTCTTCTACTCCTACATCCCTTTCAGTGTGGCAGGGGTGCAAAGGTCACTCCTAGAGGTGAATGGGTGAGGGTGCACCCTGGACAGTTCACCAGTCCATCACTGGGCCACATACACACACATACACACACAAACAATCGTTCACACTCATTTTCACACACACAAAAGACGTGAAAGACGAGGGACCAAACAGTCTCCTTGGTAAAATGTAAAAGCTAACCGAGTCTGCTGTGTGATCCCTCAAACTACTCTTATCTACAAAATTACATCCACTCATTACGGAATATTGAATTATTGAACAATACTCTAATTTTATTGAAGGACTTTGGCATCAGAGAATGAGCAGTTTACTGAGAGGCAGATTCTGGCTCGAAAAGATAATAATAAATATGTGGAGCATGCACAGTTTTGAGGTTAAATAATAAGTTACATTTTAATAAGAATGTAATACAATTTCTGATGCTTCTGAAACTGAAAAAATATAAATTGACTAATTTACCAAAAGCTTCATGAGTTTAGACCTCAGATTTTGTGTCCCTTTAGGGGTGGCTGTGTTACTTCACCACTAGATGCTGCTAAAACCTACACTGTGTACTTTTATATAAAACAATAGATTTTTCCTCTTGGCCCTCCGAGTAGCCTAACGTTTTTTTTTGTAATCCAAAGACAATGCTGACGTTGCGTCAGTAGAAAATATTTGCACTCCCCTTTAGCGTTACCTCCATTGCAAACATGCACACTAGTGCCCCCCAGTGGCACGTAACCAGTGCGCCTGAGTCTCCTTTGCTGACATTAGCTGTGCAGTGTGAAGTCTGGGCTCAGACCGTTTCACCCTGTGATCAGTGTTCAGATCTGTGTCACTTTTCTGTTTCATGACTCGTTCTTTGTCCCCACCGAGGCTGGATGACACACACACACACACACACACACGGCTGTATTTGACAGTTTTCACATTTGCTTCTGAAGTTTTTTTGTTTTTTTCTTACATATCTGACTTGAATGCTGTTTAATTTCCTCTTACCAAAAAAAAAAAAAAAATCCCAAAATGGGGAGGAACGGGGCTGGAAGCTGGGGGTTGAGAGTGAACCAGGTCTGTGCAGATCTGTGGAGACAGAGTTTGGCTTGAGAAGGAGAGGACTGGCCCGTAGGCTGATGCATGAGACAGAAAAAGAGAAGAAGAAAATGAAAAGGCAGGAACAGAGACGGGCGATAAATTATGCACTCAAAAACAAATTTGCAGAGTGGAGTCGGCTAAATAACCGATCCTGATCCAATAGCAGCTCTCAGGGAGCTGTGCAGCATTGGATTCTCATGTGGTGTCTGACTGATTCATGCATGGTTCTGAGACTTTGTCAGAGGGAGGCTGCGTTGCCACTTCCTGTGCCAGTTCCACACAGGAAGGGGAAGCTCCCTAATTCAATGTGTGTGGATGCTTCAATCACTAATTATTTTGGCTCTGGTTTCACACCATTTCACTAGAGCTTTAATTAAAAAAAAAAAAAAAACTTGAATTTGATTTGATTGGACTGATTTCAAGCTCTCTCTCCAAGACCATGGTGTGAAAACTTCAACTCAAGCTGCGAAGTAGCAACATGAGGGACGTGGATGCATTTTCATTTATTTCATTGTTTTGGCCTTGGAGATTTTTTTCAGTTTTTTGCAACTGGCATGCTGGTGCATGCTCACAGAAGGTGCACGCTTGCAGAGGGATAGAAAGTGGAGATAAATGTCAGAAAATACCTTTTGAAAAAAAAAGTGCCACTCCTCTCTTTTCTCCTTGGCCAATTACTCTGTATTTCTCCACCAGGGGGAGGCGTTCCTGTGCCTCCCTTGCCCATCCACTGGTATTACATTATGGCCGCCGGGGGCGCCCTCCTTCTCCTGGCGGTGGCCATCTTGGTCAGAGCACTCTGTTGCTGCCGACAACACCTGGCCACCAAGAAGAGCCAGCTGTCGGTGGCCTATCACAGCTCCTCCCAGTGCTTCCAGTATTCTAACTGGTCATCCAGTATGGCTGCTCCTGGGGTGGAACCTGTCCTGACAGTGAGACTGGACAGCCGGGATCGACACCGCACCCTCTGTTGAGAGGAAGCCGTTTGGCAGCACTATGTTTTTGACAAAGGAAGGAAGCACGTCAGTTTGTGATGTCTGCAGGAGCGGGTTTTTTGTTTTTCTTTTTGTTTTGTTTTTTTGTGACATGGCGAAGTTGATGGAACATCCCTGGATGCACGTGCAAATCTTCTTCTTTGTTTCCAGCTGCAGCTACGACATCCAATGACACAGACATTGTTGTTCATGAACTGCAGAGTGGAAATTTGGCAGAGAATGTTGCTGTTATCCTCTGCTGATTTAGCTGTTGTTGACTTTTCACACTGTGCTGCTCCTGAGGAGAGAACTGGACTCTGACTAAGTTATTTATCCAAACGAACCTCTGAGCACTGTCTGGCTCCACATTACCCCAGCGCTCCTCCTAGAATGACCCCAGCCTGGATCTATACACTGACATGTGTGGGCTGGAAGAAGAACAGGAGGAGACGCAGAAGGAAGAGGAGGAGGAGAAAGGTCGGTTCTGGTGTAAGAGCAAGAGCCAAAGCTGCCAAAACCACAGGCTAAAACAAGACCCGAGAGACACGAGGAGCTCTGTAGCTCCGGGAGAGAAGAGCGGAAGAAGAAACAGTAGCGCGAGAGGAGAAGAAGAAGAAACTGTGAGCATTTGGAAATGATCTGGCAGAAAATAAAGCTCTCAGTGTGTGTTATGAAAGACCAACCTAAGATGAGCTGTGATATGAGCTGCACCAGGAACATCCTTCCCATTGTCCTTTTCCACAGAGCATGTGCACATTTAAAAAGGAGCGAATGCAAATCCATCATACTTAGAGCAGAGTCCTGCATCGCCGATGGAGATAACCAGCTCCTTTGATTGAGCGCGGTGTCTCCTCCTGATAAAGGCATCAGCCCGTGATGGATGCAGCCATATTCCGTGTTTAGTGTTCCATCTTGATTCTCTGCCATTGTTGAGCACGTTTTTCCACTCCCACTCATACTCCACGCCACCCACTGCCATCATCCTCCGTGTCTCAGAGCTGTCCCAGATGAAAGCCGCGCCGAGCCGCACTGCATTGTGTTTTCAAGTGTGAATATGTGCTTGTTGTTTTTAGGCTTGTAAATAGAGACAGCTGTCGGCCGTCATTTCTCCTCCTCGTGATTTACACTCCTACAAATCCCAGAATGCCGCAGCACCAGCTGGAAGTCATAAGTGCACTGTTTTGTTTCTATACATGTGCCCTTGAGAGGAATCCAGAACATAATGAAAACCAGAGCAGAGACCCAGCGGCTAACGCTGGTTCCTACTTCAGTGCCATAAGACAGAAAGAACACAACACATGATGCACTGTTTTTCTTTTCTTTTTCTTTTTTTTTTTGCACAATTTTTTGTTGTAGTCTAATTGTATAAAGTTCTGACACATTGTTATCACTGCTCCGGGTTGGTTGGCGTTTCCTCAGTCACTGGCAAACACAGCAGAAATAGTTGGCTCTCACTGAAATCGTGTCTGCAATAACAGAAAACAAAAGGCTCAGATTATAAAATCCTATGTTTATATTATTTCAAAACTGCGTTTGCCACTCTTCCTCGTCGTTACTCACCCTTTCCTAACAGCTGGTGTTGTTTTGGCCAAAGCGTATACGAGAAAAATATTGACTTTTTACACCATGGCCCACAGGAGTTGTTGGTCCACCGCTGCCTCCGTCAGTGACTTCAGATGTGGTTCAGTGTGACATTGGTGTTGAATTCCTCCATTTAAATTGGCCAAAATAACACCAACAGTGCAGCAGTGAGGCAGCCGCTCACCAGCAGCTCCTGTGTCTTTGTGGTCTGAAAGCAAGGGATTTCTCTACGGGCTCGTGCAGGAAAGAACGTGGTTTGAAAACTCTAGTTTTCCAGAACAAAAAGGCTAACGACAGGTGTAGAATGATTTGGGTAAACACAGAATAATTTTAACCCCCTCCCCCAACCATCTGAGGGTCCTGTGAACCTAGTTTGGTATGTGAGTTGAGAACCCTGCTGCAATATTTCTCCACAAGGACTGGCTAAATGTTAAACAGAACGTTTAGCAATTTAGCATTTAGCACACTGAATGTATGTTAAGAGAAAATAAACCCACAAATGGCAGCAGGGCAGCACCTGAACGCACCACCATAACATGTTTAAATCCTAGTGAAATGATTAAAGGACGTTTCGGTCAAATCTATTTCACTGTTACTGATTTTAAAAGGCGTTAGTACGTCACGCCTCCACACTGAAATACCTGAACTGATTCCATTCAAATCTTATTTGACTCTGTGACCTCCCTCCAGCATGGTTCTCAAGGAAAAATTAGGCCAATGTCTCCCTCATCAGACAGTGTTAGAACGTGCAGTAATTTAATAGGACCAGTGAAACTGTGGTCTTCATTCAGGGCCATGCCTGCGTCATCTGTCACGCCAGCAGAAACCTGTCGCCTGTCAGCCCTCAGATCAGAAAAATCATTTTTGTCATCTTCCATTTTTTGGCCTCTTCTCATTATGTGCTTTTAAATCACCTTTGGGGAGAGCGGACCGGGCGCCTCCATCCAGCTCCACGCCGCTCCCTCCAAGCTGCTAATAGTTGTAATTAGTTAATGGACAGATAACATTTATGAAGGCTGCGGTAAGCACTTTTATCTCCCATCCAACGGCTACTCCGTCACCCGACCTGCTGCCAACCATGGTTGCCATGGAAACGCTATGAGTAACGCCTTTTGTCGCCAACGTCCTCCACATCTAAACTACGTGTGCCTTGCCAAGCAGTTACTTCCACTCCTGAAAGCCTGCCAAGAAAGAAGCTGCAAAAACCCATACACACACACACACACACACCAGAAAAGTGAAAGTAAAACTCCTCTAAAGTATGAGTACACTTCAGCTACTGTACTTGGCTTCAGTCCATCTGGATTCTTTTTTTTTATATTCATGTTCACTTAAAACGACGTACTTTTGACGAGCACTTATTTATTCTTTTAACTTTTTCTTTGACTCAACCATCTTACTGACGCCCATGATGTAAAATCATCCCCTTAAAAACATCCTAAACAAAAGAATTGTGATACTTTTCTTTAAAAAAATGTACAGTTAGTGTAAAAGTAGAACAAATGTAAAAAATGACATGGAAAACAAAAAAGTCTGATAAGTAGTGGTTTGGATTGTACGACGAGTGTTAGAGCCACACTGAGAGAAAAATAAAATAAAATTGTGAGATTAAAGTCGTAAATTATTGAGAATAAAGTCGAAGCGTTATGAGAAAAGACAGAAATTGATGATAAAATGTCTTAATTTTATGCAATGAAACACAACCCGACATATGAGGTAAAACATTTATACTAATATTTAAACTTTATTCTTGTTAAATGTACACTTTTTTTCATAATCCGACTTTATTCTCTTGGGATTACAACTTTAATCTTTTTTTTTTAATTCGCCCTAATACTGTGCGTGTGAATGGTCGCAAAATGACCTCCCCCTAGTGGCACTTTAAATTTTCCTGCTCATGAAAGTGAACGTCCTTGGTGACATATTTTTGATTGTTGTTTCTTTCCTAATGAACAACACTATCATACATGAACCTTCTCTTAAACTTAATGGTGAATATTTTTTGACATGACCGATGTTGATGTTATCAATGACATGTTTGCATCTCTCTCCACGTGGAATGAACAGTCTTATACCATCTCTATCTTATGTCATGGCTGTGTGTTTGACAGGAATGTGTCACATTGATCTTTCTCTATAACAATAAAGTCGTATTTTTCTACTACTTTCTGCGGCTGCTGTGTTCTGCTGTGTAAGCCTGAGCTACAGAGAAGTCAGTGAAGGATCAGCTGGTTGATTAAAAATCCATGTCATGTGGCTTCTGTCTGACAGTGAGGAGACCCAACAAAGTAGGAGACGGACGTCTTTTCAGTGGCAGAGACCCTCTAGGAGGAGGTGAGCAGCTTTTCTTTTACTACAGTACACTTTACTACAGATATTTGTCAAATGGTCATCGTATGATTCATAGTAGAAGTTTTTGGCAGTAGGGGGCCTCACTGCACCAGTTAACGCTGTTGTGGTGAAGGTCACCTTTGTTTCAGAAAAGTAAAAAAATATATTTTAAACCTTTAAATAAAAAGCCAGTCTGATAACATCGCCACGTTCTTCAGAAACAGTCCAGACTTAAAGGTCAGGTTCCTGAAACCAGCACCTGAAATGAAGCGTTGCTGTAATTTTCCAACAAATTTGTTGTTTGTTAGTTTGTTATTATAAGATTTATCTAAAGCAAGCATGAGCAAACTACGGCCTGCCATACTAAATTATGTTATTGACTTCTATCGATATACTTCTGCCTTTTTCCTGCACTGCCTGCATTTCCCCAATTGATGGCGTAGAAAAGGCTAAAAGCATTTGAGCATTTATGCAAGACTTTTACCTGTCATTTGTCTTAGTTCATATGAACACTTCTATCTGCCCCTGACCCGGCCCCCCTGTCAAATTTTAGGACCCATTGTGGCCCCCAGGACTAATAACTGGACCAAGACACATGAGCATGTTATCAACCATTGAAGCCCTGACGTTGACCCGTTTTCTGTTGTAGGTTTACAGTTCCCAGAGAACACTGCCTCTCCGTCATCTGAGCCTCCGGTGACCAGCGTCTCAGAGAAGGACAACTCGTGGCTCTACACCCTGGACCCCATCCTGGTGACCATCATCGTCATGAGCTCACTGGGTGTCCTGCTGGGTGCCATCTGCGCCGGCCTCCTCCTGTACTGCACCTGCTCCTACAGCGGCCTGTCGTCCCGCTCCTCCACCACCCTGGAGAACTACAACTTTGAGCTGTATGACGGCCTGAAGCACAAAGTCAAACTGAACCAGCAGCGCTGTTGCACCGAGGCCTGAGGGGGGAGACGGGAGACGGGAGACCGAGGCTCTCACTGGTTTTCTTCATTTCCTCCGGTTCACTTTAGTGTCAGTTTACTTTCTGGATGGTGCAGATTCCTGGACAGTGGGAAGCCTGTTTCCTGTTTGGGAAAACTCCACTCAACACTGTCTGGTGATGTTTTTGTGGTGAAAGAGCCAATAAGAGAGAGAGAGCGAGAGAGAGAGAGAGAGAGAGACTATGGCTCTGACCCACACAAGCTGTTCCATACTAATATCTACACATATCAATGACAGACCAGGACAGACCTGTTCACCACATCATCACAGACTCATCAGAGGTTCAGTGTTGAACCTGGATACTGTAAGCTACACCTACTGGCTCTACAAACACATTGTGGCGTCAGTCAGTCAGAACGGTGGTAGGTTAGGAAAACGTGCTTAGAAAGCCTTGTCAATTTTTTCCATCACGTGTAAACCCCGTGGCCTAGAACGTAGCTCCTCCGCGTGGCACGTTGACTTTCTCCTCCTGGTTCTGTTTTAGACTGGGCTCCTGCTGCCGATCAGCCCAGCTTTTCCTCTTAGTTCCCGACAGTCTGTGGTATTTTTAGTGGACTGACGTCTCTCCAGCTTGTCTTTACTGTTCAATGTTTTTGTTCTGACCTTTTGCCAAGTCAGAGACAGCAGATACATAGGAGAGGAGGAGAAGAAGAAGAAGAAGAAAAAAAAAGCAGGAGTCAAGAAAATGTATGTGAGTAGACGTAGGGTTGGGACGGCGGGAGGATTTTGAAGCACGTCGTTCTAATGACGGAGAGATGTTTATGTTATATTTAGTTGTCAGAGGCTGTTGTTACTGGTTCCTGTCAACGTGAAAGGTCATGTTTACATTGTGGTTTATGCTAAAAGGTCAAGGAGCTTTGATCGCTGCAACCTATGGATTGCTGGTTAGAGCAGAAACTTTGGCATAGAAGAAACAGAGAGAGAGAGAGAGAGAGAGAGAGAGAGAGACTATGATTACCACAGCACTAAAATCCTCTCGTTCTCTTCCCCTGGAGAATATTCTCTATTTTCGCAAGGACAAGACGATAAAAAAAACATGGGATCAAAAACAAATGCACAGCAGGAAACACTGTCCTCCGACGTTTGACAGACTGACGGAGTGTGTGGACGAGAGACACACTCGTGCACACACATACACAAGCCTTAAAAACAAGGGGAAATGGAAACGCGTGACACTGAGGAAACACTGAGACTGGAGACGAGAGGACCTCTCTCTGCCTCTCTCTCTCTCTTTTTTTTTCCTTTTTTTTTTTTTTTTTACATGTGGACCTCAAAAGCCATGATAGAAAGGACCTAACCCCTTCTCCACCCCCAAGAATGGTGACAAGCATCGACACACACACACACACACACACACGTAATCCCACCCACCATCCACCTCCAGCCTGAAGAATCTTCAGAGGAGGACGTGTTTTAAAAAACAGTCAAAATCTCAGCATTGACTGCAAATGGGCAACAAGCCACAAGGCAGGAAGTTGCACACGTGCACACAAACATGCACATGCACTCATTGTGTCACTGGCGTATATACAGATGTGTAAACAAAACACGCCTCCTCTCAAACATGTCAGAATTTGGACAAACACTGAAAAGACCAACAAAATGAAGGAAGTATCTGCTGCTGCTGATGAGAGAGGTTTCACAACACACACACACACATTTCATCTCTATCACATTGTGCACACACACACACACACATGCACGTCCATGCCGTCCCTCTCCTCTGAGGCCCTCATCTCTGGACCCCACTGACTCTCGACGAAGTGCCTTGGAGGCTCGGGGGTCCAGCATGCCTTTGGAGCACCTATCAAAGACAGTGGTCTGACACTCACTTTGACACTCACAGCGCCCCCTTCTGCCCAAATGGACCAAACATGTTAGAGAGTGGGATCCCACCCCCTTTTCCTTCTCCTCCTCCTCCTCCTCCTCTTCCTCCTCCTCCTCCCACCGTGTCCCACCTCTGGCACTGCTGTTGTTGTTGTTGTTCTAGGAGGGGTCTTTGTACAGAAAAAAACTCTTTTTATTATGATTGTTATGATAATTATTGTTATGATTATTTAATAAAGGATTTATACCATACTATGTAACTACTGGGTAAGGATTTATTAAGACATTTTTCATTTGTCAACTCATCGATAACCAGCACCATCACTTGGTGATTTGTGATACTGCAATCTTAAAATATCTGTCCCATCCAAATATGAATAAAACCAGTATCAGTGATGTATGTTTTTATGAAATAAGGTGGACCAATCAGCAAGCTGCTAAATCTGAAAAATGTCATTAAATCATTGGGCGATTTCTCATTTGGATTATTCTCTAAAACCCAGGACTTTGGGCAAAGTTATCAGGTGAATAGAAAATTCTCAATTACAAATATAAAAATAATAATAATAATAAAAACAAATTGGATTGCACATTTTCTGTATATTTCAAAATTATCAAAATATTTTTAAAACATTCAAATCATTTTGATATTTGCCAATTACAATGCATTGAGGGAATAAAATAATTCTGTAGCACTGATAAATGAGGAGCCGTAAAGTGAATATGTTTCAGTTTTCAGAATATGTTGGGATAAATATATTTTATCGAGGTGTTTGGTGAAACAGTGAAACTAAATGTGTGCAAACTCCTCATCATCATTTCCTCCCCTGAGAACCAAGGAGCTGGCGGTTCAACGCTGCCTTGAAGGTTGAACTAGTGTCTCTGGGGTGGATTTCAACAACGGATTTCAAACAATAAAAGTCACATAGTAGCACTATTGAACTCCAGTGGTCCAGGCACCAGGGGTTGAACACCACCTGGTGTAAACTGTGAAGGGATTAGACTTTGAGGCTGCATCAAATCCCTGCTTTGAGTTATTTTTAGTTGTTTGCATTTTATTTGCCATGATGTGCTGCAAGGCAGAAGTCTTGATGTTCTTCACCTCGCTGACGTCGCTGTCATCCTGGTGGACAAATGAATGACTTCCTGTCCTGTCTTTAAAGAGTGCAGGTGGAGTCAAACTTTCTCTTTTAACCACAAAATCTCTCACTCGCCCTCCCTCTCTCTCCCTCTCTCTCTCTCTCTCTCTCATGCACACATATATCCACTCTCTGCTGTAATGCTGTGTTGTCAGCTTCCTACACATGGCCTCTTATCTCACCATGATGTCCTATTAGCCTGGACCTCTGGTGGCCCTCATTTAGAAACTCCAGCATCAAAGCTTTGAAGCACACACCCACACACACACAGCCTTCTACACATGCATATACAGTACACATGCAATTACCCAACCGCTCTCCTATGCAGCTCACAGAGTTTTCCACAAATGGTTCCATTTATCCACATAAGCTTTCCTCACCCCTGAAGCTAACCCTGTTAGCAGCTCCAGCACACGGCTCCAGATCTAGATTCAGATTGGTTTTGTGCACAGTCTCGTGCAGCCCATCAATGAATCATGCGATGGCTCTAAATGTTTTATGCACATGCGAAACACAAACGAGAACATGAATAAACAGAGGATTTGTCAGCAGCTGTAACTGTGCAGTGATACAGAGTCAACGTCTGTCTATGAAAATACGTTCAGCGCTCAGTGAATCCAAGGACAGGCTTTAGGTCTTTGTTCGTTTTTCTACACATTCTTTCACATCTTCATTGTAGTTGGTGAGAGGTTGTTTCATAGTGTAGTGGTTAGCACGCCTGCTTCAGACACAGGGAGGCCTGGGTTCCATTCCCACAGGAACTATGTGCCTGATTGAATCTTCCCCCTGTAAATTGTGTTGATAATTTTGTGAAATAACAGACTTGATAAAAACCAGGCTGTATTTTTATAGTTTTGTAAATAGTTTCAGCTTTTAACAAGTCAGTTTATGCTTAGAACATAACAAATATAATATAAATCCAAGTAAGGATAAGAGTAGAATGAGGGAAGGTTGAGTTCCTGTGAATGAGGTTCCTACCTCGGTTTCCTGTGGAACCACCTGGGGGCGGTATTAGGTGCTGCACTTCCTGTTCTGTTTCTGGTGACCATGTGGACATTCAAAGACAAGGTAAGTCACATGTTTACACAGTCTTTTTGCACTTTTCGCACAATTACCTGTGCACTGCGTCTGACACTGTGCTTGGATATGAGCTGCTAATGAGGCCAGAGATTAAAGGTAACTTTGGAAGATTTTTTTTTTGGTGTGGGGGTACACAATTTGTGAAACGTGTGACTGTGATGCAGGGTTCAAAAAGGCAGTTTTACATTTTAGAGACAGGCAACACTTTTGAGGTGTATACTTCTAAACCTTAAACTTTCATCATGAATCCTGAACTTTGTGTCTGTCAGTTTAAAAGAATGAAGGCATTTCTGCAGAAACAAGATCTTGTCTATGAAGTTACAAAGGCATCAACCAAAATGTAAAGGTTGTGTTTGTGTTTAAATCACAGCTGAAGGAGTTCCTGTGGAAGTAAAACAATAAAAACAATAAGAAAATACAATAAATCAATACATTAAACACTCACAGGGAAATTGAAGATGAGCTGAAAATAAAAATCAGTCATTGAATGCAAAAAGGTTTTGCTGCTAATATGCGGTTCCACCAAAGAACTCTATGGTCTGGACTTCCAGAAGATTAAGTTTCTGCATCTATTTAATTTAAACCACTACTGCAGTGTTTTATGAGGTTACATAATGCTGTAATATTGTGATTGAAATTAGATCTGCTGGTAGCATTAAAACAGTTTGTTACAATAATTTGGCTTTTAGTTTAGCAAAAGCAATTTTATTTTGGTGGTTATTTAGTTTCAAAATCTTTCTGTTTTACTTCAGCTCTTCTCTGTATTAAAAGTCCATGTTTTTGCATTAGCTGAACTGAATCCCTCGTGTGCTCATGTTGCCCTACATGCTTAAACAGTGTCGCTGAATCTCATACTCTGTATCTTTGAATGTCATAAATATGACTGTAGGCAAAACTACGCAAAATCTTGCAGTTCTCTCACAAAACCAAATAAAAGAAAGCCCAAATAGTATTTGACTCAGTACTGATTGAGTCCATCGTACGTCACGTAAAGCTGAGTCTTTACTGTGATTTCTTGGAAGATAAACCTAACGTTCATCTACGTTCCCCTCATCCCCAGCGGGACTCTCTGCACATCTGGATGTGTTTCCTCCGTCTCTATGTCACGGTGATGTTTAGCACGAGTCCTAAATGAAGCCTGAAGCTCAGGTACCGAGTTATGAGGCGTTCAGAGCAGAATGACACGTGTTGTCGCAGCACAGCGGTGGAGGCAGTAGCTGTTAGCATGCTTCGGTCCATAGCATAGCCAGCCAATTATCATCTAAGGGGAAAAAAAGGGAAAAAAGAGCCCAGATATCTCCAGTCTGCCGGAGTACAGTGGCATCTGTTCGTAGGTTTGATTGATCCCAACAGAACAGTCACAACCACATCACAGGAACCAAGGCTGGCAGGAAGTGACCAAAGGAGCCAGATTGTCATTGTTCCATGCCCCTTCTTGTTTCCACGCTGAGATTATTCTTCAGTTTTTTGCCCGGCCAGTGTAACACAAATGTTGTTTTTCTAGGTTTTTATCAGTTTGTAGCTTCAGACTGCAGGGGCCGTTTCCTTCAGCCGTCAGATCACAGAGGGTTTTTTTTTTTTGCCTCTGAAGCCCAAGCGGCCTTCAAAGAAACCCCCCTCCCCCCCCGTCAGTTGATAGGCCCGATTGCGGTGTGAGTCCGTTTGAGGGTCGCGCTGCAGGAAGTGACTGAAACACTCAGCTAATTAATCAGCGGATTATGTAATCAAGATGGAAACAAGAACAAACAGGCTGCATGTTAGTCACCCCAGTCAGGGGGAGAAGTTTGTTTGCTTTTCTAACTTAATCACTGAGGATTTCCTTTTTCTCCTAGACGTACGGCGGCCGAGCAGGAGAGGCCTGTGGAAACCAGAGCCTGTTGTTTGTCAAACTGATAATTCTAGTTTATTTTTCTTCTCCCATACAATTTAGAATTCAATCTTTACTGACCATTTGATACAAACTTGTTAGGAATAATGTTGGAAATTTGTATTTTGGTGAACACACAGCAATGGTTCAATGACTGTAGTGTAATGCCCTGGTCTGTTGACTGTTGTGCGCTGGTAAGACTTCATTGCTTTGTGTTAGTTACTCCCCCATACTGTTGTATTTATGTATAATCATGTATGATGGTCAAACTAGAAGAACAACGAAGTAACGCATTGAAAAAGTTGGACAGTAGCAATATGTGTCTAAATCAGAAATGCACATATTTATCCCAGCAGGTTCGTCTGTTGTAAGAGTACTTTTACTGAGTATACATATACTGAGAGGTCAGGGAAACTGTAGGTCTGGACTGAACACATCATTTGCTGCTACTCATCCACCAATAGGGACATTCACAGTCTGAGCCTTTGCAACCCACACATGCTACCATGGGGGGGCGCCATAGAGTATGTTGTTCCTATGGGGCTCAACTCCAGGACACTGCATGTGTGACAGGTGTGATCACCACTACATCACCTAACTTATTTTTCGGACTATAAGTTGCATGTTTTTTTCATCCTTTTGGTTTGGTCTTCTACTTATACTCAGGTCCGGCTTATATATTAAAATATATCATTTCACATGTTTGTTATTTTCAAGCTGACAGCCG